TCTAATGGATTTAATCCCATTTATCATGCAAAGCTTTGAAGTTTCAAGTTACCAAAGACTTTGAAGCTATCTTAAGTTACCCATGAAAACTTTGAGACAGAATTAATCATCATTTTAAGTCAACTTTTTGCTAACAAATTGCAACAGAGACTGACAGTTTATTTGACCTTCAGTAAACCCAGGTAAATAAGAGTTTCATGTTTATTTTTGAGAGAGAGAGACAGACAGAGTGCAAGCAGGGGAGGGTCAGAGAGAGAAGGAGGCACAGAATCTGAAGCAGGCTCCAGGCTCTGAGCTGTCAACACAGAGCCCACAAATGGTGAGATCATGACCCGAGCTGAAGTTGGACACTTAAATGACTGAGCCACCCAGGCGCCCCTAATGCTGGTAACTCTAAAGACATGTCTATTTTAATCAAACCAACAAACTTAAATTAGCTTAAGTACTGAATATGTTCCACCTATGTCCACTTAAAAGTCAATTAGCTCCCCATTGTCAGTGTTTCACCTGGGACACTAGTGGGGAAATCTGAAGTGGGGGGAGCAAGTTCTGGTTGGGTTCTCCTCACTCCTTGACAGCAAAGACAGTACAAGGAGCAGATGGTGCCTGGGGAGGCACAGAAGACGCGCTACGGGAGCCAGTTATGCAGCCCGCACCCGAAGGGGTGAAGAAATAGGAGGGGGCAGGAGAGGCAGGGTGTCACCAAAGGGCAGAGAAAGAAGGTTCCCAGATCTAAACTTTGCCAGCTCGGACAGAGGTGCTGACGCCATGATTTCCCCACCGAAGTAGAAATATTCAGTCCACGAGAGGCAGGAGAATGGGGAACTTTCCCAAAACAAAGAGAGTTTCAGCAGCTGCTTGGGAATATTACTTAAAGTCTCTGTCCCGAGGGAGACTTACCAGAGACAGTTGATCCCAATTATAGCCACGAACCCAGGAAATATATGAGGGAGAGACGCCCACATCTATTAGGAGGAACCGTGAGAGAGAGGCACAGTATCCTCCTCATTAAGGATGGCTTGTGTTTCCTCCAGCAACCTGGATTTCTATGGAGGAGGCCTATTTAGACCATTATCATCCAATCGAGCAGGAGGTTTGTTGGCCTGATCAGTGGCCAAACACATTCTGTCAGAGGCCCTTAGGTCCGGGTCCTGATTCAGAGCCATTAAGGCCTGGACCTAGGGTACCTCCGTCCATTTGTTCAGTTTTCTGCAGGGGAGGTCTAACAGATGGACCCCTACCGAGGCCATGCAGTGTTACAGGAGATCAGTCCTTTCTTAAATCTTTGCAATCTGAATTATTTCCAGTGGGTTAAAAGGCATGTCAAGGAGATCCCTTGGGGGCTGAAGAAGTTCCATGATCCTAGAAAAGGAGACAAGGTCCACTACAAAGAACCCCCACCCTGATTCCTGGATGGCGTCCCACACACACAATATGTCAGAGGTTCCTGGCGTCAAAGCAACCCAAGGAATCCCTAGAACAAAATCGTTGTGATCACCGCCTGCCATAAAGGCTCAGCCCTCCCCTGCTTCCTTATCACATTCTAGACTACAGTGGGTGCTGGCATGTGGACCAGGTTTGCCTTGCTGAGAAGATCAGGAGCCCCTTGGCTGCAGCTTATAAGGAAATTTTATTTTATCTACCATTTACTTCTGCCTTTGTTTCCCACATCACAGCCCCATACCCTGCCCACCGCCCCAGCTCCTAGAGGTGGGGGACTCGGGAGATTGGGAGGCTCCAGGCACAACGGTCTCACCCCCACCCCAAGAAAGGCCCAGACCTGAGTAGGTTCCTGCTTCTGATACAGATCAACCCAGACCTTCTCTCTTGCCGTGGGGATTCTTTTCAAAGGGACAGCTGGAGTCAGGAGACTGCAGAGAAAGCCAACACCCATGAGGAAATATATGCTGAAAAATGAATCAGCAGATGGATGATAGATGGGTGGATGGAGGAGTAGATGGAAGGGTGGGTGGGTGGGTGGGTGAGTTGATCGATGGGTGGAGAGATGGTTGGCTGGATGGCTGGGTGGCTGGGTGGGTGGATGGACAGGTGTGTTGGTGGGTGAGTGGATGGATGGGCGGGCAGGTGGACAGAAGGGTGGCTAGATGGACTGACTGACTGTTGAAGGGACTGATGGACAGAGAATAGAGCATTTGGTTATCAATTCACAAATATTTCCCTGCCCCCTGAAAGTTGTCTGCCTAGAGGAAGAGCCTAGAACTCTTGGTTCTCGTTTGCAGGGGGATAATTTTCCCTTCCCGTGCTTCTCCAACCCATGGCTTCTCTACTCCTTTATTCCATACACATATGCTGCACATCCACCAGGGAGGTTCCAGGTCAGGGACTCGTTTGCTTTTCTTGTATTTTTTTTCCAGACCTGGAAACCAAGAAACAGGCAGCCAGTCCTAGGTGCTATGATTAAAGATGGCCAGTTGTTCTTCCTGAGCCCAAAATAGCCCAGTGACCCTCAGGATTCTGCATCTCATTCTGTCCTGCAAGGTGTAAGGCCTCCATCTTCCAGAAACACCTTCATCTCCTTGGCCGACCAGCAGTCTCCCACCAGGGCACCCCACAGCTGCCCTTCCTGCCACACCGACTGCCCTCATGCTCCTGGATTCTACTTGGAAAAACTTTCTGTAGTGTGCACCCTCCCCGGACTCCCCCTTCTGGGCTCTCCTTAGGGTGCCCAGGCCCAGTGCCCTGGGATGTTTGAGCTGGGACTTTGTTAAACGATTTAAATACTTAGGTGAGTGATTATAAAGATTGCCCGGGTGGCCCTGTCAGTTAAACATCCAACTCTTGATTTCGGCTCAAGTCATGATCTCATGGTTTCTGGGTTCGAGCCCCACATCAGCGCAGAGCCAGGCTGGGATTGTCTCTCTCCTCTCTCCCTCCCCCTCCCCCACTTGTGTGCACAGGCACACACTGCAAGCTCTCTCTCTCTCTCTCTCTTTTATAATAACAACAACAAAGGACAACAAAAGTCTGTTATGGGGCGCCCTGGGGGGCTCAGTGGGTTAAGCATCCGACTTCAGCTCAGGTCAGGTCAGGTCAGGATCTCGCAATTCATGAGTTCCAGCCCCACCTCGTCTCTGTGCTGACAGCTCAGGGCCTGGAGCCTGCTTCTGAGTCTGTGTCTCCCTCTCTCTGCCCCTCCCCCACTCACACTCTGTCTCTTCTCTCAAAAATAAACATTTAAAAAGATTTTGTAATAAAAGAGTCTGTTAAATAAAAATTAAGTGAGTAATAGTGGAAGTGACCACCCATGATGATCATAGAGTCAGGCCGGGGCAAGAGCCACTCAGCTCACCTGCTTCTCAGTTCAGGGCTTTCTACTGTAGAAGAGCCGGTACCCTGAATAAAACCCACATGCATAACCAAACAACAACATCAAAACAGTGGACACAGGGGAAATGGAAATGAATGTTAATTACAAGTTTTAAAAACTCCACCTTTCTAGCAAGTGAAGAGACACAAATTAAAGCAACCTTTGATACATTCATTGACTCATGAAATCATCAGGGGTTTTTTTTTCTTTATAAATGCAACTTTGGTAAAATCCAACCCCAAAGTTGTAGTAAAACTGGAATATGGGTTCATACTCTGCTGGTAAATATTAACAACCCCTGTCAGAAAGCAATATAGCAATTCTTAGCAAAAGCCTCTCCCCACCCCCTGCAAAAAAAAAAAAAAATGTTTACAACTTGTGGCTCAGTCATTTCACCCCCATAAAGAAAAACCAAGGTAATAGTTCAACTGGAAAAAAGAAAAAAGGAAACCATAAACACAGCAATGTTTCCTAAAATGTTATTTATAAATTTTGGAAATACCCTAAGAATCACAACGTTGAGAGTAAAGGAGATTATGGTATATCTGCTTTCTAGAATACTACACATCCATTAAAAATGATCATTATAGGGGCACCTGGGTGGCTCAGTCCGATGAGTGTCCGACTTTGGCTCAGGCCATGATCTCACCGCTCATGGGTTCAAGCCCCACGTCGGGTTCTGTGCTGACAGCTCAGAGCCTGGAGCCTGCTTCGGATTCTGTGTCTTCCTCTCTCTCTGCCCCCCTCCCACTCACACTCTATCTCTCTCTCAAAAAAAAAAAAAATGAATAAATGTTAAAAAAAATTTTAAATAAATAAAAATAAAAATGATCATAATAGTGATATTGTGCAAGCCTGAGTCTCCCCCCTGGCATTCCCCTCATCGGCTTCTTAAGGGACACTTCACCAAAGCTCCTCTGCATAGAAGCCTAGGACGTGCGGTGGGGGTGGGGCTCTCATTACATGAAAAATCATATAATTTACTTAATGGTAATAACAATCACAGCCTTTGGGTGCTTACTTGGTGCTAAGATTTTTCCGGCGTTGGTAACTCTGATCCTCTGGGAAATCCCATGAGGAAGGTTGTATGCCCATTGTGCAGGTGGGGAACTGAGGCACAGCGCGGCGAATCCACCAAGCTACGGTTCCTCAGAGCCAATGGCGCTCAAGACCCTTCTCAGCCCGGCTCCGTGTTCACCTCCAGGCCCCCCGCCCCCCGACGCTCTCAGGCCGTTCCTCATCCCGGTTCCCACCGGACCACACCTCAGGCTCCTGTGTACCTCCAGAGCCGCCCCGGGGGCCACCTCTTTGTCGCTTTCCTGGCACTGTCTCTTCCCCTCCCCCAGCCACCTTCCCAGTCAGAAAGGCGGTTTCTGTCGTTTCTTCGGCACGTCAATTCTAGAACGGGTCTTACGGCCTCATGACTGTAATGACTAGTTCGTGGATCCATCTGGCCCGGGAAACTGGGGGCTCCCGGAGAACCAGGGTGCCTCGGGAACCTGAGGCAGTGCCTGGCACGGGGCCGGGAGCCCACAGCTGGCCAGCAGGGAGGAGGGCGCGCTCTGCGGCCAGGGAATGAGCTGGAACCCAGGCGGAAAGTGCGGCCTCCACTGGAGAAAGTGCAGCGGCTCAGGAAAATGGCGGCCCCGGCGGCGGGGCGTGGGGGGGGGGGGTGAAGAGCAGACAGTGGACAGGGCCGACTGGGCACGGCCTGCAAGCTCCGGGCGGCTCACGAACCCCCTAACAAGTGTGAAAGTGCTTTGAAGAACAGGAGGGGAAGTCCCTGGGCCCCACGCGAGGTGCAGCAGGCGGGCCCCGCTGTGGGATCGCGGGGGGCCAGAGGCCGAGCGAGCGCCCGCCCCGGCCTGCAGGAGGCGGGAAGGTGAGCAGTGCCCGCCTGCACCGGCTCATCTCAGAGGAAGGGGACAGAAGGTGGGCACAGCAGGAAGCCCTGGGAAGGGAACAGGGAGCCTGTGTCACCAAAGAGATGCAAGTAAGACAGTAAGACGCAAGGCTCAGGAAATTCAGGGACTTCCCCGACAGCTGGGAACCCCAGCCCCAAATGGCCCCAAAATACCCTCGGCAGATAAAGGGATTCTTTCTGCCACAGGCAGCAAGCAGGCAGGTAGGAGACTGCAAACCGGAAGAGAAAAGCCTGGACTCTTCTGCGCTGAGTAGCCCCGGTGCTTTTCTGAGGGCCTTGATGAAAGGAAGACTCTCGCTCAGGAGTTTTTCTGGCAGGACCTATGAGTCTGGCCACCTCCAACTCAGACTCTCAGAGGTCTCCCCCGCCTCGTGGCCCAGGACACTAGGTGGATCCTAGTCACTCAGCTCGGGCCTCTCCGAAGGTGGGGACTGGTGTCCACAGAGGGCTGGGGGCAGGAAGTTCGCTCCTTAAAGCTGGGAAGGAAAAAACATGAGGGGTTCCCAGCTGCCTGGGTAAGTTCTAGGAGTACACCCCCCGCCCCCCGCAGGATACCCAGGCCCTTGGCTCCATATTTAATCCTGGCAACAAGATTTCAAGTCAGCACTGCTGTCCCCACTTCACAGATGAACAAACCGAGGCTCAAAGTAGTTAAATAACTTGCCTGAGGTCACACAGCTTGAGAGTGGGTAGAGCTGGGATTTGGCTCCAATCCTGTCTGACTTTCAGGCCTCAGCTGCCTTCTTTTTTCCTTCTAGGCCCCTGCCACCCTTGCTTTCCCCAGGAGAAAGATCAATGCTGTAGGAGTCCTGGGCTAGCCGAGTCACAGGACATTTTCTTTTCTCCAAGTGTGTTTGTTATCTGTTGCTGTGTATCTCAGAACTTGGCAGCTTAAACTGACAATAAACATTAAATCACACCGTTTCTGTGGGTGAGCAGTTCAGGGGCACTAAACAGGGTGATTCTGGTTGCGGGGGGGAGGGTCTTTCAAGAGGCTGCAGTCAAGATGTCCCCGGGGGGCTCCAGGCATCTGAAGGCTTGGCTGAGACTAGAGGACCCGCTTCCAAAATCAGCCACTCACAGGGCTGCGGGCAGGAGACGTCAGTCCCAAGGCGGCTTGAGTACCCTTACAACATGGCGGCCGGCTTCCTCCAGAGCAAGTGATCCCCAAAGAACAAGATGGAAGCCACAACGTCTTTGATGATCTGGCCTCAGAAGTCATGTTTTGTCATTTCCGCACTATGTTACTGGTTACACAGGCTGGCTCTCCCCGGTGTGGGTGCATACCAGGAGGTGGACGGAGTCCGCTGGCGGCACGTTGCCTTCTCTGCCAGACGTGGATTCTCAAACTGCCAGGCTGGGATGCAGGGGTGGCTCGGTCGGTTAATCAGCTCAGGTCATGATCTCAAGGTTCGTGAGTTCGAGCTCCGCATCGGGGTGCTGTGCTGACAGCTCAGAGCCTAGAACCTGCTTAGAGTTCTGTGCCTCCCTCTCTCTCAATCTCTCTCTCTCTCTCTCTATCTCTCTCTGCCCCTCCCCTTGCTTGTGCTCTGCCTCTCACTCTCAAAAATAAATAAATAAAATAAATAAAGCTGCCAGGCAGGCTGCTGAGGGCTGCCACGAGCCCTGAATAAAACAGTGGATGCAGAAAGCTCTGAGATGAAAGGGGAGAGATGTAAAGGGCAGAGCGAGAGACACTCCCGCTGGGGCTGGGAATCCAGGCCCCTGCTGCAGCCCCAGACTCTCCGTATGGGACCAGGGATGAAACACTCACAGCCTGGGGTTCCCCTTCCCCAAGGATGGGTTTCCCATGGCATTCACCGTTCCAGCTAGGAGTGACTCAGATGAGGTTTTGGGTGTCCACAGGCGAGAGCCTAGGGGTCAGAGATCATCCCTGGCCTCTCAGGTGATGCCACATGGGCCACCGTCCCCTGGGCCTCAGCACAGGCCAGCCCGCTAGTCACACAGCTGCTGTGGGCACTTCCCTGGCCCTTCGTGCTGGGCTCAGTCTTATAGGGGGCAGCTGTAGGGGTGGGAAGTCTAGATGGAGGGTAAGAAGCCCAGGTGCAGCCTAGGTCTGCATCCAGCTGTGCGACTACCCCCCTCCAGGCCTCAGTGCCCTCGTCTGTAAAATGGGGGACTGGGGGTGCCTGGGTGTCTCAATCCGTTAAACATCGACATTGGTTCAGGTCATGATCTCACAGCTTGTGGGTTCGGGCCCCGCGTGAGGCTCTGTGCTGACAGCTTCAAGTCTGGAGCCTGCTTCAGATTCTGTATGGTCTTTCTCTCTCTCTCTCTCTCTCTCTGCTCCTCCCCTGCTCTCTCTCTTTCTCTCAAAAATAAATAAACATTAAAAAAATTTGTTTAACGGGGAGCTGACATCTGACAGTCTGCTTTAAGTCCTCTTGGTCTGGGGCTCCAGGGAGAATGGAGAGGAGGCCTGGGTCTCATCCGGACCTGCGAGACATTTCCAGTCCTGCTCTTCTAGGCTGGTGGAGACGCTAGGACCCGCCCCTGGTCAAGCCCTGTATCTACCATGTACTAGCTGTGTGGATTGCAGCAAGTTACTCACCCTCTCTGAGCATAAGTTTCTTCATGCATGATGTGAACAGTGATATCCGCTGCACAGGATTGCAGTGAGGACTTTAAGAAGGTTCATGTGACTAGTGCCGTGGGGAGGCCCTGCTCTCCTGCCCAAGCCCCCGCAGGCAGCTTTAACCCTCTTGAGTTCCTGGGACCAGGAGCCGGGCAGGGACTCCCACTATTCCTCACAGTTTCCAATATTCCCTTCCACCTCCCAGAGCGACAGAGGAGGAAGCTAAGACCAGAGAGGGAAAGAGACTTGCCCAAGGCCCAGACGTGGCAGGGATGACCCCGGGGGGCCTCGCCCCCCCCCCCCCCCCCCCCCCCCCCCCCCCCCCCCCCCCCCGTCACGGAGTCCCCGCCTCCCCCAGACCTTCCTGCTCAGCAGGACCGTTGTGAATGGGGGTGAGTCATTTCAACTCTCAGGAAACCAAGCCTAGTCCAGTATTAATCACGGAATCAGAGGCTTCGGGTGCGAGAAAGAAACAAGCAACAGATGGTACCAGCAGCTCAGTCAGAGGCACAAGTGAGGAGAGGGTGTCCCCTTGAGCTTGTCCTTGCAGGGAGGTCCCCGATCCTGCGTGCCTGGACAGGAGTTACCCGGGAAGCTTCTCAGGAAAGAGGGAACCACTCCTCACAGAGCCCTTCCTATCCTGATGAGCCACACTTCTCTCCAAGGAGCACTCACCGCCGCCCCCCCCCCCCCCCCCGATGGAAAAATCAAGGTCAGGGTCTGCTGAGCTTCCAAGGAGGAAAAGAATCCCCCAGGGACAGAGATTTTGCCACTGTGTTCAATGCCTGGCATAAAATGGGTGTATGGCTAAAGAAAAAAAAAAAAAAAGAAAGAAAGGCAGAATGAAGGAATCAAAGGTACTTACAATGGACCTGGACAGTGGCCTTGCAAAGTGATGATTTTTTTTTCAAGGGACGATTTTTTAAAATCCGTGAGAAATCGGATGCTCGGAGCAATAATCTGCTCAAGCCAGCCAGTGACTGAGTTTCTAGAGCCATGATTCAAAGCCAAGTCTGTGACTCCAGAGTAGGCCTCTCTCCCCTCTAGGGTGGTGGCTGTCCTTGCTGTAACGGGCACCCCCAAATCATGTTGTCCTGAAGCCCCAGGCGTAGTCCACGCTTCCCGGGTGTCCTACAGTCTGCTCTCAAGCTCCCAGAGCTGTCTGTTGTGAAGGAGTTTGCTCTGTTGTGAAGGAATTTGTGTTTCTGTCAACCCCCCTCCTTCCCCACGTGGGGCCCGGCCTCTGACAGTCCAGTCAGGGAGGCTCCCAAGGACCAACTCTGGAGGATTGGAGGGGTTCAGAGGCACCCCTGAATCATGACTTCCAACCAGAACATTCAAGAAGCCAGCCTCACTCTCTGAAGGCTGAGAATTTAGCGACAGATGAATGATTGATCAAGGCTCCAACCACGGGCCTGCCCATCAGCCTGAAATTCCACCGTTACTCACTATTTTGGGTGGAGGTATTGAAGGCCCCAGTCAAAATATAAATCATTTCTGGGGGAAACCACTTACTAAGTCATTAGCGGGTGTCACAGACCCACATGGCTGGTTTCTCAGAAGAGCCTTGGTGAGAACAGGGCCAGAGGACCTGATGGCCAAGTATAAAGTGGCCGCTTACTCACCAGTGTCGAGGTGTCGAGGAAGCACTTAGATTCAGAACCAGCTTTTACCTAGACCAAAAAGATCCCCATGTGGGGCCTGCCTTTCACCACCATCACCTTATCCCCTATCGTATTCCCCACTGGCCCCCTTTCTGCTCCTGGGGCCACCAAGCTTGTTCCTGCCACAGGGCCTTTGCACTTGCCTGAAACCCTATTCCCCAACTTTTCAATATGCTGGCCCTCCAAAGAAACTTGTGGGGCGATGGATATGTTCCGTGCCTTGGTTGTGGGCGTATGGATGTATACATATGAGAAAACACCAAATTGTGTACTTTAAATAGGTAAAGTATATGTGTCAATTATACTTCAATAAAGCTATAAAAAATAGAAAAGTTTTAATTTTTATCTTTTATTTCAGAGCGAGACCACATGAGTGAGGGGGGAGTGCAGAGGAAGGGAGAGAGAGAGAGACAGAGAGAGAGAGAGAGAGAGAGAGAGAGAATCCCAAGCAGACTCCATGCTCAGTATGGAGCCTAATGCAGGGCTCGATCCCATGACCCTGGGATCATGACCCGAGCCGAAATCAAGAGTCAGACACTCAATCAACTGAGTCATCCCGCCGCCCTCCAAAATAAATTTTTAAGGGAAACTCTACAACCAACAAGGGGTTCACACTCAAGACCTTGAGATGAAGACTTGCATGCCCCACTCACTGAGACATCCAGGCACCCCTAAAAATAATAAATTGTTTAAATGCTGCCTTTTTCATCCTTTGGGTCTTTGGCTTGGATGAAAGCACCTCAAAAAGGCTGTCCCCCAAGCTGCTGGTGCGGGTCTCTGTCACCTCACCCTGTTCGCTCCTTTCAAGGAGCGCCTCACACCACCATCTGAAACTATTTGCCGGGAGCCTGACTTCCCCCCAGGACTGGAGCTCACGAGGTGGGGGGGGGGGGGGCAGGGATTGTCCGCCTTGTCCACTGATGTGACCAGGGCTCAGCTTAACGCATTTCTTTTGGATGACTGAACGAAAAGGCCAGGGGCCCCCGGGAGGCCTGGCAGACATCGGCCCTGCCTCTGGGGGGCCCCTCCAGGGGTGCAGCGTGGAGGCTGAGAAGAGCAGGCACTGCTCTGAGAGTAAAACCCAGAACAGAGTCGTGGCACCATCCACAGCACAGGGATGGGGGGTGGGGGAGGGCACGGGAACAGGCCACAGTCCCAGCCGGGAGGGACCCTGTTCCTGGCAAGAGCTGCCCATCAGCACGTGAAGTTCATTCAGAAAATCCCCTGGCGCTTTCCAGCCCCAGTCCCTCCAGCGCTGGGCCCAGGGCCTCCTCTCCCTCCGAATAGGAGCCAAGAAGCCTTAAGGCCTGAATCTTCATGATCTGGGGAAACTGAGGCACGGCCCCAACTCGGGCCTCAGCTGGGTCTGGAGACTCATGGGGTCCCCGCTGGAGACTGGGACCCTCTGAGAAAAACCCAACAGTTGTCACCAACAGCCCTTAGCTACTCATGACTCAGCTGCTGGTTTGCATAAGAAGGTGGCTCAGAGTGTGAGCGAGAAAGGGATCTGGAAGACTGTGAGTCGCTTCCCATGGGACAACCCCCCCCCCCCATTAGCATTATCCCTAAGGAGAGTCAGGCAGCAAGTTAGTAGAGGGACAGTCCCCAGACCCCAGGCTTCTGCCCCCTTCCCCTCCCCCCTTCCCAGCCCCTTGGCCACCACC